TTATTGTATAATTATAAGTGTATAGGACGAATATATATGTATTTGCATGTGTATATACAATTTTCTCTCGCTTTATACAAACAGAAACGCAATTTATACACTTCTGTTGTCTAAAGCGAGAGAGGCGAGCACAGAGGGAGTGAGCGAGAGAGGAGAGTGGCGAGCGAGAGTTTGAGGGAGAGAGGTGCTGGCAAACAGTTTGCTACAGGACACAATTAAATCAAAGTGTGATTATACCATTTAATTTGAATTAATAGTTTGCCATTATATACAATTTTCCCATAAAAGTATCTAATAGCCCATAGGCCCTTACCAAGTCACGTCGGGTTCACAACACCAAGCCAAGACAGATTGCATTGTATTGACACTAATCTCCTCAAGCATTGTGCTGCTTGTTTTATACCTTGCAGAAAGTATCTACACATTAAAACTGTGTCATATTGTTGTCTATAATATCACATTTATTATGTTCTTGAATATATCTCTTGCACCATGTATCCAAGTTCTACCATAGAAAACCATCCAAACAATCCCTTCCTAATTTTTTCATTTTCTCTATATTGTCCTTCAACTCAATTGGAAATGCGGATTTAGCAATCCTCCAATAATTTTTTGCTCTTTTATATTCCTTTACAATTTTACACCGATTTACAAGAACATGTCTTGCACATTTTTCGTGTCCATTTGAATTTCATATGTTCTAAAATCAAGTTTAAATAATCGAGTTATAAATTTAATATTTTATATATAATAGTAAAAAAAATATTATTAAAATAAAATTTGAACTAAAATTATTTCACCATATTTTTTTGTATATTAGCTTCTATCTCCACTACATACTTGAAATTATGACAAAAATATGATTGCAGAAGGTTCCTTTTCCTTATCAAGGTATGATTTTGGATAAAAACGCATTTCAAAATGTTTAAGATATACATTAATGAGAATCACTCAAAGAATGAGGGGTCACTTTTGGTGAGAAATAAAAGAAATGAATAGAAACGTGAAACCAATGTTGTTTATCTCCAGTTTGGTTTAGGGACTTAAATCACATATTTTGTTTAATTGAAGGTTAATATTTTGCCTTCATTAATATGAGAAACAAAATTAAAATAAGTCAATAATAAGAGGAAAAAATATATATTTTTTCATAATTGTTTGTCACTCTTCAAATATGATTTATATCTAGATATAATGTCTAGTGAATAGCGCTAAAATTCAATACAAGTATTTTATTTTCGTGTTTTAACTTTTACTATTGACGAATCTTACATAACATTTTAAAAAAGAGTATCGAAATCTAACTGAATTGTACCAATATAATTGAAATGATTTTGAAAAGTCTAATTTTAGTTATAATTCTAAGAGATTCAAGCCAAAAGTCCAATATGAGTACTCATCAAGTCATCTTATCACTTTCTAACTTTTGCTAGCAACTCTTACATAACTATTTAAAAAATATATCAAAACTAACTGTACCAATATGATTAAAATAGTTTTAGAGAAGTGATCTAATTTTAGTTATAGCTAAATTGTATCGATATCAAAGAAAAACCTATAAGATTGGAATGAATTTGAAAGTCTAATTGTATACAAACTAAAATAATCGAGAAATTGATATTGATACAAATTTTATAAAATAATCAATCCAACCGAACCATTACGCCCCTAATTAAAAGGTGATGGTACAAATCAATGAACAGCCTGACATTTCTTATGGTTTGAGTTGGGACTGTGCAGGAACACTAATTTTTGACAACCTCAAGATCGAGCCTTCAACGGGAGTGTTGCTTTGTTAAGCCAACCCCTAATTAAAAGATTATGGTCCAAACCAATGAATAACTTGACATATCTAGTGGTTTGACTTGAAATTGTGCGGAAACACTGGTTTTTGACAACCTCAAACTTGGCCATCGGCGGGAATGCAGCTCTATTAAGCTAGCCCTTAATTAAAAGATGATGGTCCAATTCAACGAATGACCTGACATTTCTAGTGGTTTGACTTGAAACTTTGCCCAAACTCGGGCCATTGGTGAGACTGCTGCTCTGTTAAGCCAGCCTAATAAAATTACTTTATTTTACTCCCACCGTAAACATGATGCACTTATTATGAACTCACTATTTGTCGAGGGCTGAAGATTTGAACGTCCCGATCATCTTAATGCTCCCACTTGGGTTACAAGCTCACGTTACTAAGCTCAGCAATATGTGTTGTCTTGTTGAGTACTTATAAAAAGAAACTTTTGGTCTGGTGTCACCGATGTGGGATGTGACTTGATTATTGCTTAATTAAATCTTGTATGGTAATTAAGGATGTGTTCAGCATAGAGGTTTTTTTTTCTTCTAGTTTTTCCATGTTCGATTGATCACATATTTTAGAAAATACTTCCGTAGAAAAACAAGTTCATTAAAAAAATAAAAAATAATTTTCCTAATGAAAGTATGAAAAAAACAAATTCCACAAATGACATTTCACATTGATTGCTCACCATCCAAACACACTTCATCTTCATCCTTGCCCCAATAACCCCATCCCCACAACCCCAATGTATAGTGAGTCTCACTAAAGTCCAGCGTGAGTCTCATCTTATCATGTTCTAACTTCTACTGGCGATGACTCTTACATAACATTTTCTAAAAAATATGAAAAACCAATCAAATTGTATAGATGTGATTGCAAGGTCTAATTTTAGTTATAATTTCTAGTGAATCGCGCTAAAATGCAGTACAAGTACTCATCTTTATCACATTTTAACTTCTACTAGTGATGAATCGTACATAACAGTATAAAAAAGAGTATCAAAAGCTAATTGAACTGTACCTATATGATTGGATTGATATTGAAACCCCCCACATAGCTCTATTCCCACTAGAGGCGTATCCAGGATTTCGGCTAGATGGGTGCACGATTACGAAAAAATATATTTTAAATATAAATTTGATCAATTTGACTTTTAGTTCATACATGAACCATTAAATTTTAAAAATTATAGGTTCAAAATGTATAATACTACTAGTTTTAAATTTTAATATACACATTTGATTTAATTATATAAAAAATTTACAATGTTAAATATTTTAGGAATTTTCAATGTAACACATTTGAAAATTTTGAAAGATTAAAGGAAAAAACAAAAGCAAGAAACGTCAAAAGTGTAACCGATAATCACTTGAAAATGTGTTACTCACAGAGACAAAATAGATATAAGATTTAAATTTATATCCTCACTTAAAGAGGTGCACCCAATCATCATCGCATTATTATATGATATACTTTGAACATGGGTTCACACATCTATATTTAAATATTTTTTAAAAAATATAACACTACTATATATGATCTAGAGAGGGGAGCATGGGTTCACGTGAACCCACGGCACCCTCTCTAGATACACCTCTGATTCCCACCACCCCCATTATTTAGAGACTCACGCCAAAATTTCAATATGAATACTTATCTTGTTATGTTCTAACTTCTGCTAGTGACAAGTTTTACATAACATTTAAAAAAGTTAACGACAATTAATTAAATTGTATCGATATAATTGGAAAGTGTAATTTTAGTTATAATTAATGTCTAGTGAGCTGCTAAAATTCAATACAAACATTCATCTGGTCATGTTCTAGCTTCTACTAGTCACGTATCTTACATAACATATTAATTAATAGAGTTTATTTTTAAAAAAATTAACAAACTTATAATTTACAAAGCTTTAATAATTTATCACTTACATAGCTAACTTACTTTGAATTTTAAAATTTGAAAGTCTAACAATCTAACTTTACAAGGAATTGAATTTAACAAACTTACAATTTCCAACACTTTCAAAAAATTATTTCTTACTGAGCTAACTTACTTTGAAATTTATAAAGTCTAACAATCTAACATTTATAAAGAATTAAATTTTAAAAATAAAAAAATGTAATTAAAAATCACAACTTAGATATTTCATAATATTTTTTTAAAAAAAATTATCGTGCCGCGATCTGTTCTGTCCTGTAAAATAGGTAGATCGGGACGGGACTATCGATTTTGACCCCTCTGTCCTGGTCCGGGATAGGCCCATTCCCAGCTCAATCCCTACCAATGTTGTCCTGGACCCGCCCCATTCGCCCCTATCCCTTTATGAGATTATACTGAGTAGTGAATAATGTTGTTGTATATTTCTATTTCTTTCCTTTTCAAATATAACACATAATTTAAAGTGTAAATGCTGCATTATTAGGTATGCCAAAATGGCCTAAATACAGGTGACCGCATAGAAGTGATCTTGAATGGGGAATACAATAATTTTATAAACGATACAACGACCTTACCTCATTATTTTATTTTGATAATTACGGTATTAAGGTTCAATACATCCAAACTTCAACTAATTTTATAAAGTATGTGTCGCCTCCCATTAACAATAGATATCAAGCAACTCTGTACCCTCAAGGCTTGAACATTAGATGATTTTTTTCTCATAAGTTCCAGTCTTGGAAGATAAAATTATTGAGATCTAAATCCGAAACTTCATGGCACTCACCTACTTCATTGACACGCCCTTAGGTGCTAAATTCTACATCATTATTATGCTGCTACTCTTTGGGGTAGTTTGGTGCGCACAATGAAGTGGACTATTCCAAGATTAAGCTTGGAATAAAATTTATTATGCATTTAGTTGAAGGTATAAATTAACATCAACCAAACACAAGCATAAATTTAATCCAAGTTTAATCATGAAATAACTCAAGCTTAGTCAAAGGATTACAATCCCAAGAATATGATCACAGAATAACGACCCCTTTAGGTTTAAAAGTGGTACTTCACTGCCATGCACATAAAGTGAAGAGCATTAAACCATAATTTTCAGCAATCCAAATTACAGAGCAGCCACACCAGTTGGATATTGGCTTTCATGTTACCACTATGAGCTTGAGAAACAAGTCATTCATTCGAATATGTAAAAATAGGAGCAAATACTATCCAGAAAACTATCTTCCATTGAGTAGCATGATTAAATCAAACAAAATTGGATTTAGAAAACAATTCATGACACAAGAAAACTACATATTGCGATCAGCCAAAGCTACTCCAGCTCAAGTCTCACCCTATGCCACAAGTGTGCTGGCAGTGGTAGATTCGCTGCACATACGAGGAAATAAAAATAATCAGCAACGTTCAGTTATATAAGAATTGCTGCAAATGAATAAGATGGCATACACCTTGCTTTTTAAACCAGGAAAGTAGTAAAAACAACGGAAAAAGAAAAGGAAATTACAGCACATGTTGGTTTTAGAACCATGTAACTTGAAAGATTGTTTTAAACCAAGAACAATGCTCGAAACTCAAATGGATAATAATGGGCCATCCTTCTTTCTCCATTAAATATCAGGTTTTAGTTTGGGGCAAGGTTCAAACCCATAACATGCGCCTAATCCACACATAAACATGCTAAACTCTTACCAGTAGACCAAAGACCCAGGAACAGATCCACATAAGAAAATCACCAAAAACATTTAGAAAAGCAAACAAAGAACAGATTGAAGAATCAATGTCAACGGATTATATGCTGTGCATCCCAGTATATAAGTATTCCACTACGAGCAAACCAGAGTACTATGGTAAGAAGTAAAACTTTGCTGTATTTAAAGAAAAAATATACCCAAACCTGGAAACAAACAACTTCTTCACCATTCAGAACTTTCCTTAAACAGTTTAGTAGTTTTCTTGGTGCATTTTTCAATAATATGCACCAAACACAATTTAGACATAAAATGATACCAAAGTTAAACTAGAAAGGAGAAACAAGTGTCAAGGAACGGTGGGTTTCATTACAACTTTAAAGATTGCTATACACAAACCAGGAAATTTCATTTACAATGGAGCATATATCAAGAAGAGGGAAGCAAACAACAATAACAAGTTCACAACCATGGCTCGATCCCAAGCTAGTTGGAGGTTAGCACATGAATCCTCACAATTCATTTTGCTCAATTAAGACACCTCACAATCAAAAACAGCATAAACCTATCACAGCCAATAATCCTAAATATTAGAAAGATTTCAGCTAACTTTTTAAATTGTAAGGAAAATAAATCTTATGCCTAGCTCAATTCCAAAAGCAAACTCATGATGCGGGGAGACACCCCCAACAACCCATTCTTTAGCGTACACATAGGCCATGGAGGCTAAGCATTGGGCAAATAAAGAATAGGGGTGGGGGAGGGAAGAAGTTTAGGCTTAACGCTTCCCCAAAAGCTAACTCACGAGGTGATTACCTAATGACCATATGAGCAGGCAACAACTCATTCTCTGAACCAGTGTGGCTGGCTCACTTTAACATTAACAAACTACTAATTGCTGCCCATCTTTCAGGATCATCAGTTCACTTAAATCAAATAAGAAAACCTATGTTTAACAAAGTGAAACCAAACCACTCCGGCAATCTTAACGGAATCAACAATGCATACTATTTGCAGTGCGCTAAATGCAACTCAATACCACACTAAGATATTCAAAGTAATGCAAAAAATTATAAACAAGATAGAGTAGCAAGTAAGCTTACTATTTCCAGACAGGTGGGAGCTTTTTTGTTTTCTTGTAATAGCGAGCAAGGCGATGGATCCTGCTCTCCACCAAAATCAAACGGAACTTGGAATCCTTATCCTTCCTGTTCCTCTCCAAATGCTTCCTGATGGCAACAGCTTTCTTAATCAGGTGGTACAAATCCTCTGGAATCTCAGGTGCAAGCCCTATCAATTATCCCAAAAATTACTCATACATCTCAAACCACATTCATTCAAATACTCATAAACCAAACCACACATAAACAATGATAAAAACGTACCGTGTGCCTTGAGGATACGCAAGATCTTGCTACCAGTAACACTCTTCACTTGTGCAATTCCATGAGAATCACGAAGAATCACACCAATCTGTGAAGGGGTCAATCCTTTCTTAGCGAACTTGCAAATGTTGTCCTCAACCTGAAATCAGAAAATCAAGCAAAACTTAATTAAAATTTCTAAAAACATCTATATAGTAGTAGATAATAAAGGTGGGATGATTTACATCTGGAGCGGAGATCTTGAGCCAACTAGGAGGAGTTCTCTTGTAAGGGAGAGCAGAAGCTGAAATACCCTTACTGAAACCACAAAAAACAGGGGAAACAGAAAATGTCAAATTGATGCTCACAAAAATGAAAAAAAAAATGGAGATTCAAAAGAGAGAACAACGAACCCACGACTGTGCATGCGACCCATGATGGCGGAGTTAGGGTTGGCGACTGGTGGTCTGCAATGGAGGCTTACCTTGGGTTGTGCGGAAGGATTTTTATGAAAGCTGCTTCTCTTCTTTAATCTATGGCGTTTTACTAGGGTTTAGTATTACTACTTTGGGCCTTCAGAAGCCCAGTTTTCTGGGTTTACTGGGCTGGAGTTAACATAGTTTCCTATAGAAGGTGGGCCTATCTTCAGCCCAAGTCGTGTAAATCTGTGTAAATCATTTTCATCTTTTATGTAGTAGGCATTCATTCACACATAAGATTCAGGATCTCAATTTTATGTTTGAATTTGAAATTAGAGGTTTATTTCAACTTCAATTTCAGCTATCAAATTCTTCAAAAAGTAGGATTTTAAATTAAAAATTATGATTTCAATTTTTATTATATAAAATTTGATTCATAAGTGTATATTATTTATATAAAGATTCATTATTTTAAATTTTGTAAAAAGAACTCATGCCCATGCTCGATGTGAAATATATTGTATTAAAAAATAATTTGTTATCTAGTGGATCTTTATAAAAAAAAAATGTATATTTAAAAGTTTGTAATATAATATAAATTACCACATTGTTGTACATTCTAACTAAAATTACGATAGTGTGTCGAAGCCACACTGTCATGCCGTATACCCAAATTACTGGTATCGTTTGACTAACAACACTTATAACTATTTGTTGTTGAATTATACACCTAAGTAATTCAATATTCAAATTGGGAAGATTTGTGTTACATCAAAGGTTAAAATCATTGTTGATAGATTCTTCGCAGGACCGTCTTAATCCCTAGGCCACTAAAATCATCGCTTCTGGCTCCATTTTTTTTTGGGCTCCACTTTCTTTACAAAAATACTTATAAATGTTATTTTTTAAAAGAAAATTATATGTACTATGAATGTTATGATTTCTACTAAGGAAATTGCATATGAAATGAATATAGAACTTGAATTTCGTAAGAAACAATTTGATGAAAATCACAAAAACACACAAACACAGATTTGTTTATTTTCCAAATGCACATATTGCTTATTGAATAATGTTAACCATTCCTCTAATTGTTCCCTAAGTCGAAAGAAGTTTTTCGAAACTAAAATTGACTAAATCTTATTTAAGATCAACAATGTCTTACTGGAGATTGAATGGATTAGCTATATTATCAATTGAAAAGAAATTATTAAAACAGTAACTAATGATTTCGCATCTAAAAAAGCTAGATTTGTATATTTCAAAGAAAAGTATATATGATGAAAACAAACAATATTAGAGCTCCTCCTTTAAGTTTCGTTTTAGGCCTCCAATCTTGTTAAATTTGCCCTGATTCTTCGCTTTGGATAAAGCGTTCAACTGTTGGATCAATGTCAAGCATTGTTTATGTTGATGGGATTGCTAAAAATCTCATAACGAAGAAATAACAATAAAAATTATCATCCCAAATTCGAGTCTCACCATAAATTGAAAATTCATTGATTACAAATGACACTGAATATTCTCAAGTGATACCACTGAAAGTTCCAGATCACTTATGATTATTTTATTCCTAGCCTAAAATGGACAGAAAATGTGTCCAAATCTGCAATTTTTTTGGTTGATGTACAATGTGCTCAAATGTGTAGCTAATTTTTTTTTGGCAGGCTGTTAAAGGTTATAACTGCATTATAAGAAGAGCCAAGGGTAGCTCAATCAGGGGTGAACCTACGTTGGGTCAAGATGGTTCATATGATCCACTTTGTAAAAAAATTACATGATAGCCTTTGGTCCAGTGGTAAATCGGGCACCGTTTTGTGAAGGCCCAATTTTTTAGTAATAATAAAATTATGGGAAAATTACGCGGAAAAGCAGACATATACTAATTAATTAGCTAATATAGTTATAGTATGAATTAATTACGGCTTGCAGCTTAATTTTAGCTTTAATTACTTCACTTGTCCTCTTTTATACATATACAAATACAAATTATGCACACATATATATACAATTATATGACATGTATACAATACAATTAACCTCTCTCCGCTCTGTGACCTTTCTCGCTCGTCTCTCTCCTCTCTCCCAATCTCGCTCGCCTCTCTCCTCCCTCTCCCTATCTCTCTCGCCAGATATACTAATACATATGTATATCAGTTATATATATACAATTATCTGACAGATATACATATACAGTTCGCCTCTCTCCACTCTATGCCCTCTCTCGCTCGCCTCTCTCCTCTCTCTCCCAATCTCGCTCGCCTCTCTCCTCCCTCTCTCAATCTCGCTCGCCAGATATACAAATACATATGTATATTAGGTACATATATATACAATTATTTGACAGATATACATATACAATTCGACTCTCTCCACTCTCTGCCCTCTCTCCTCCCTCTCCCAATCTCGCTCGCCACTCTCCTCTTTATAACATGTAGCTACGAATTGTAATTAGCAAACTATAGCTATGGAGCGTAATTAAACTATTTTATTAGTGGTTATATGCGAAAGTTCCCCTAAAATTATTATAAGCTTTTTCAACAAAATAATATACTATATCTTTTAATTTTTTATCTTTTTTAGTTCGTTTCGAAACATTAAAAAATGTTTTTGTCTTTTTGTCGATTTTAAAATTTAACTTCCACATAATATGTTTAAGATCACAAGATTAAAAAATGTTTTGGTATATCTTTAGTTTAAGACCATAGAAAAAATAAAGTTTTTTAATTAAAAAAGAAAGAATATAAATTTGTATCTCAAAAATAAAATATAAAAAATTAATTAAAAGTTAGACTCCGATTTATTTTTGGCTTCAGGCCACTAATTAGCCTGAGCCGCCACTGTTGGACAGTAAATGAAAAGAGTTCCCTTAAACGAAAGATAGAAAAATAAAGCAAAGAAACAAGACAATATGTTAGAAAAATAAAGTAAGAAAACAGTATAAGAGATATGCATTCTATATAAAAAGAGTTGGACAGTAAATGAAAAAAGTTCTCTGAAGGTGATCAAAAAGATTCGACGAAAACCGGGCATACATTCGAGAGAGAGAAGGATTAGTTCCTGTCTGGGTCAAGGGGACGGGTAAAAAACAATCAAGACTTTTAAGAATACATAAGACCTTCTTAGGAAAGTCTCTATCCTTCTCTTACAGTCAATCATTCCTAAAGTCAAGACATACGAAATTATAAAATTAGATCTCCGTAAATTTTATTTCAGAGACATTTTCGTATATATCTCACCCACATAATTGGAAACTAGACGATAACGTAAGATCACTTGTTGCCATGCGATTAACAAAAATTAAGCAGCGGTTAGTAAAAGTTAAACAATAATGTTAAATGAAATGATTGTGCCTCATCTTCTTTGAATTGTTTGACAACTCCCAAAGTTATCATATCAATGACATGATTGTGCCTCATCTTAATCGTTTTAATAATTTTGATAAATTTCTGTTCATCTTTTATATCTGGATAGTATCGAATTTTTATTACAAAAAGAATCCAAATACAATTGACGTAATTGAAAGAGACAAAGCAACACAACAAACAAACGAACTATTAATCTTCAAGTGTTAGTAACACGAAGAGGAAAATGGAATACCTTTAAAACATTAGGCAAGTGTTAGTAATAGAAAGAGGAAAATTGAATACCTTTATAACATTATACTTCGAAGACAATCCATAGGAAGATTTTCAAAATCAAGAATTCTACGAGCAAATCCAATGAGTAACTCTCTGTGAATAAATTGAGCAGAACTAACCAAATCTATTCTCAAAAATGGACTTATCCAATGCTCCCCATTTCTTCACCTCTACTGTCAATACCTCAACAAAGGCTACAGAGCCGGCAGAAGGGGGAAGCCACTAAAGCAATTGCTTTAGGCCCTTAAGTTGAAGCCCCCAAAATATTATTTTATGTGCTCTAAAATGTGATAAAAGTTACTCGAATATTAATTCAAATTTTATGTTCTTTTCATCTGTATTAAGTAATTTTTTTTAAAATTTTTTTTAGTCGGTATCATAACGAATAACATCTTATAAGAAATTGATTTTAAACTTCTTGTTTTAATCTTAATGAGATAATTTATTGCTACAAAATTTCTATAATTTCTTTTAGATCACAAATTTTAAAAATCTTCATTCCTTTTTAAAAAAATTATGTATAAACTCAAATACCTTCACATGAATTAGTGAACAATAAACAGTATAATATATATATATATAT